GATAAATTAAGTGTTGTTAATGGTATAGCAGGTAAATGAATATACACAGAAAGGGGTTTGGGATAAATGATATGAGATAGGTTGCAATGATAGTTTGTTAGAGTACTTAATGAGTAGACTTCTGGATATGAATATTTTTAGAGTGACTTATGTTTGATCGTTATTTAGTAGTAGCTAGAGTAAGAGACTTGCATGTGTGATGACACCATAGTTGTTTAACACTTTTATAAATGGTATTGTAAAAAGTAAATGCTAGTGTTGGGGAGAGTGCCATCAAAACAATTTGTCTAATACAAAGTGGGAGTTATCCCAGTTATCCTTTGTTGATGACATTCTTTTGGAAGACTCTGAAGATAAATTGCACATGTTGGTGAAGGAAGTTGGGAGGGAATGTAAATAAGGAAAACTAAAAGACCATACAAAAAAAAGCAAGGTGATGTGATCAACAAAATGTATACATCATGAAAAAGTGAATATTAGACTGGAGGGAGGGAGCGTGTAGAAATGAATGTACGTATTCAGATATTTGGAAGTGGACTACAGAATAGACGAGATGTAACTGGTTTGTTGAGGCATCTGTGGAAAGAAGTTCATCTATGCCAAAGCATTGTGAAACCAACACTTTTATATGAATGTAAGGCTTTAACAGTTGCAGAAGTGAGGAGGCTGGAGGCAATGGAGATTTTCTGTCTGAGAGAAATGTGTTATGAATATTAAACATAGTATTCAGAACACAAAAATTAGAAAACTGAGGGAAAGTTTTCTCAGAGTAAATTAGCATGGCAACACCAGCCAGCTTCTCTCACGAAGTGAGAGGCACTAATCAGGTCACTACCCACCAACCTCCCCATATGGGTTAGGGTACAAAGAGGGCCTCAGTTTACAGAAAGTGGACATAATTAGGAGGGCCAAGAATGGGTTGTTCAGGTGGCTGGGACATTTAGAGAAGATGGAACAGCATAGGATGGTCAAGATGGTGTATAATTCTGAAGTGGAAGAAAGGATAGGGATAATCTGGAAGAGTTCATAGGAGGGAAGATTAAAGTTTGTGTGCTAAGGGCTTGAGAATTCAGCAGACTTGTGCGAGCATGTTAGGTCAGAGTGGAAACGAGGTTTTTAATGTTCGACATGTTGTTGGAGAATCGTCTGAATAGTGATGCTAAAACACTTCTGGCAATACAGCGACTGAATGGCTGATGGTGAATATTTCCTGTTTTGGGGGTAATCCTACCTTGGCAGGAGACAGCTGATGAAGTAGAAAATACAGACACGCATCTATCATGTAAATATTTACAAAAGTACTGAAATACCTGTAGCAATACACAGAACCCTTTTTATGCAACATTCAAAAATGATAGACTAGAACAAAACTAATAAACAAGCAATAAAATGCATTATGCAAAGTCAAGCTTTGTTTTACCTGATTTGTCTCCTGGATGTTTTGAGAGGATGAAAAAAATGGCTGATAAATTCAAATTATCTCAAAACAAAAAGAATCTTGTTTAAACAAATTATACAGACATTCACTAAATTGCAAATAGCAATGAAATGCCCCATTCAGTGTACAGTATTAACCAAATACAGCACAAAATCTAACAATGTATAGCTCTAAGCTCTTCTTAAATACTGAAGGATATACTGCACATTAATATACAATCTGTATTATACAGTATATACACACACTCCCATACAATGAAAGGCTAAAACACTATGGATATCCTCATTGGCCAAGAGCAGAAAAAGAGGACACTAACCACACTTAAGGTCATATACAGATATAAAAGAATAGATAAAAATGATTCCTTAATATATAACAGGGAGAAGAGGCCCAAGACAGAGACAAAGGAATTCTAGAAAGTTTTTCCCCATAGAGTAGTGAAATGATTAATATATTAAAGAAGGTCTTTAATGCTACAACCATGGCTGCTACTCTGCAGCAACAAATGGGCAACTACACTACCCCCCCCATCCATACACACACAAAATGTCAAGGAGTTAACTAGGCAAATTGCCAGAAAATATCATTATGAAGAGAGTTTTTGAACATCTCTAAAGAACAAGATTCTTCACTGAACACAGGCATGGATTTAAAGACCAAGCAAAGAGGAGAGATAAGGAGGCCATAATTCATGACTGTAAAGTAGTTTGTAAAATGATGCCACACAGGAGGCTGCTTAGCATACGAGAAAAGCAAGCAAGGGTAAAAGGAGAGGTAGAAACCTGAATAAGAGAACAGTTGAACACTGAAAGGCAATATCACTACATAAAAGAGAATGTAACAAGAGTTTCACATGGATCAGTGTTAGGACCCATATGGTTCTTGTTATATATAAATACCTAGTTACCGAAATTAGTTCCTACATATATCTACAGACAATGCCAAAATAATTAGGTTAACAAAATTAAGATAATGAAAGGAGGCTGCAAGAAGGCCTTTGATATACCCAATTGTTCCTGCAGAATAATAAATTATTAAAGGAAATTAACCAAAGTCATGGAAAAGTTGTACAACAGGAAAAAGGAGGCCAAAAACAGTACTATCTAGGGAAGAAAAGAACCTCACTGAAATTGTTAACGACAACAACCTTGGAATTACCATTGCCACAACCTATTACTTACAAAATACAAAAAATGTAAGATAGAGTCTTAAAAAAAGGATGCAACAAAAAACAAAAATGAGCCACAGAGATGTTAGAAAGTACTTGTTCATTGTAAAATTAACAAGTGGAATGAGCCAAGCAATAATATAAACAAATGCCATATAGGGGTTCAAAAACCATGACAGGGTTCAATTATGTCAGTTAGGTTTAAAATTAAAAAACATGGCACCAAGAGCTGGAGCACACTTCTTGCAAACTCAAAAAGCTTATTACAATAAGCAATTACCCACTCTCTCCCTCTTTACACACATACAAATTGCAAGTGGTCAGATAAGTGGTTGCTTGAATTCAACCCCAGTAAATGCAGTCATGAATGTTGAGGAAGAAGCAAGATTGGAAACAGGATACAGACTAAGGGAACAGAGGCTCCAGACTTCATTCAAAGAGAAAGACCTAGGGGCAAGCACAGTGCCAAGCATAATGCCAGAGGATCACACATAAGCCACATAACCTCTGCAGCCAATGTTCAGGAATCTCAATAAAGTCATTCTGGGCTCTTTATACAACATACATTAGACCCAACTTGGAGTACGCAGCACCAATATGGAACCTACATCTGAAAAAGCATGTTAAGAAACTAGAGAAAGTGAGTATGAATTAAGACTTGTTCCTGAGCTAAGGGACATGAACTATGAGGAGAGGCTAACAGAATTGGGCCTAATGACACTGGTCAGGAACTGATAATGTAGACAGGAAAAAGCTGTTTGAGAGGAGAGAAACAGAATCTATGGAACACTACTGGAAGTTAAAATCCCAGATGAGCCACCGAGATGTTAGGAAGTATTTCTTCCGTCTCAAGAGTGGTCAGTAAGTGGAATGATCTTGGTGAGGAAGTGGTGGAGGCAGGCTCCATACATTGTTTCAAGAGTAGGTACAATACAGTCTATGGGGCTAAGAAAGTGTGAATCTAGAGAGTATCAAGTAAAGAGGCAGGGCCAGGATCTGAGAATTGATCTCCACAACAAATATTCGAGTGAACACCATACTTAATAAGCAAAGTTCTTCAAATAAGCTAAACTGACTAGACAGTTTCTGAAAACTATCTCACTCAATGACAGGACATACTGTACATTCACAATGACATATATACAACACCAAAATTAACTTGGAATCCTAATACTGCTTTACAAAAATTAATCGAGTAGTTAAAACATACCTAATCTATTTTAATTTGGTTATTATTTATCACTGAAATTTATTAATTTTGTGTTCACCAATTTTTGCAGTTAGTGCAATAATGAAATTACATTCGACTTGTTTGGTAAAATGACAGTTGCCAAATAAGCCAAGTCAGTAAGTTCAGCTTAAAAAGCACATGTATACGGTAAATACTGTATACTGTATGTAACCAACACGAATTTTTACTGTAATTTCCTTCTTTTCAAACAATATACTGAAAAAACTAACTTAAATACCAATATGCATCTTGAGACATGTCATTAAAATGTAGAAATACACAAAAATATTAGAGGGTATTTATAATGAATGCACTAAATTCTAATAAAGTAGGGAATAAACTTTTCAAGATGGACCGAGATACAATATTTAAAAATTTTAGATGAAAATGCAGGATTATTAAATGACACTAAAATACAGGTATTTAAAAAAAAAAAAGTGAAGTATTTTATTTCCACTTAAGCTTTATCATTTACAGAAAGCTAGCAAGAATTACATCATGAGTAAGCTTTATAGTGATGCATTTTATACCAAGTCTGAAATGTCAATTTTCAAGTATATATAGTAATGCAGCTATGTAAAATACTGTTGAAGAAGTTTTAAAAAGGTAAATTTCACACAATGCCATTTTAAAAAATGTATAAATAATGCACAGAAACAATAGAAGATTAATTAATATCAGCAAAGAAATAAAAAATATATAAATTATAAAACAGTATTAGATGAATAAACTCCAGTTGGACATACAATAACTACAATAATGGTGTAAAAAATTCAAAAAATTAATCTAATCTTTTAAAAATATAAATGAATAGCACTTAAATTAACAGAGAGCTTAGTGTATACTGTATATATAAGCATGGACCTCTCATGTCAATTGCATGTCTGATAACTCTGTCCTTTGTTAAGATCAAAGCTGTTCCCTCCACAACTGCTGTCACTGCTGGCAAACACTCAAAAGAAGCAAGATGAATTATATACTTGACAATTCTCAACACGTAGAAAAGTTTACCCTTCACATTATAGGCTTAATTATTGAGTAATAATAATAAACATTGTTATCCCAAAACTTTCACCCTAAGATACTCAAAACCTCGTTACAATGGAGTACTTTAAAAGATTTCTCTCAATTTCATGACACTGAAATGAAATTTTGAAACTTACGAAGGAGGTGAAGGCAGAGGAACCTGATGGATCTTCCAGGTGGCAACAGACATGGAGTGCTCATCAGCAGCATAGCACCGCCACAGGCACTGAATTAGTGTGGCTGCAGGTTGCCGGCGACGGATCATGTGCTTTTGGCGCTGCTGCTGCTGCACCTTCAGGGCAAATCCTGAGCCTAGTATTCCCTGCATGAGTGGTAAAGCCATCCCTAAGTCCCATTTCTCTATACACATGCTATTAGATAGTAATATTTTTAAGTACACAGTGTAATACCATGATCATCATCAGGATATTAGAATTATGGAAAAAAAAAAGGGGTCATACGGCACCTGAGAAATAGGTTGTAACGAAGTTTGATAAAAGAAATGTCATGATAATAATAATAATAATAATAATAATTATAATAGAGCCTCTCCTCACTTAGCAACGCACTCGTTTACCGACGACTTGGTCTTACAACGGGCTCTCTGACCAGTATGCATACATAAATAATGTATATTAAGAGCTGATTTCCTCTATTCTGTTTATTACAAATATACAGTACACTACTGTATAAACATTTAAAAATATATCAGAAGTGTTAAAATAGTGCAAAGGCAACATTAAAACAATATTAAAGATGGTCGACACAAACCCACTACCATTATAGTATGTTCCTCACTTAGTGACGAATTCATTTAATGGTACATGTACAAGGTATACAGGCCTAGTTGACATCAATGATATACTACTACATAGAAAGCCACTTGTTATGGAGAGCATTTCAAGCAAATTAGGTCAATTTTATCCCAGGATGCAACCCACACCAGTCGACTAATACCCAGGTACTCATTTTTTTTTAAAGTGATGGGTGAACATAGACAACTGGTGTAAGGAAACATGCCCAATGCTTCAATCCTCGCCGGGAATTGAACCCTGACCCTCACCGTGCGAAGCGAGAGCTTTGCCACCAGGTCACAGGCCAGCATTAAAGACCAGATAGCAGTATAAATGTGTGCGAAAAACATTCTTGGTACTTTTCCATAAAATATGATCCATGTTACAAAGAACTTGGTTTTAAGTTGGAACATCAGGAATGCAACTAGTACAATGATTTGCAAGCTGGGTCCTCACTTATGTTACTTAAAAGACTACAAAAAGATACTGTATTGATGATCATGGAAGGCCAATTTGACAGCATTTAACTGGATATTTATTTCTTAGAATTGCAGGTAGAATATTCAAAATAGTTCTTAAGCCTACGGTTGGAAAACTAATGTGGTCTTGACAACAAAGTCTGGTGTATCTCTAAGGATGCATTGCTTTCTTTCCTGGAAAAGCAAAGCGAGGATAATCTTAAATTATATGACAGGTGAAGGCTGTCTAGTTGAACTTTTTCCACAAACGAAATGCTGTTGCACTGCAGTACCCTATTAACTGATACGAGCTACTAAGACTTCTTATGAAGGAAACGGTTGTTCCTTTTTATCCTCCCCCTCAATGTATTTTTGGGATTGAGGGTGAAAAATCTGACAAAAAGACACTAATTGCTGAAAGAATACCTTCAGTGAGACTTTTGCTTGGAGACCAAGCCTTTCCAAGTCAACTGAGGGTAAGATAAATGTAGGTAAATATAGTCATGAGAGCAGGTGATCAGGAGGGAGAAGAACATTTGCAACATTTGGGTATCTTTATTGAGGAAACTATGTCCTTGAATTTGTATTAATAAGAGCCACTGGAGGGCAAAACATCTATAATAAAGATACCCAGATGCTGCACACATGTCTAATTTTTACCTTCATAACTTATAGACCATTGTATGTAGTTTTGTGCATTATTATATACTACTGTACATAGCAGATTCATAGCAGATTCACATATCACTTATCCAGAGACAGTACTTTCAATAAATAGCATCTGAAATATTGTACTCAAGTCCTAATTGTGTACAACATTTCAGATGATTGGTTCAATGGTTGATCGCACTACAATTTTGATTATTATAATTATTATAATCAAAAAGAAGCGCTAAGCCACAAGGGCTATACAGCTCTACAATTCTGAAAAAATAAGCATAGCGACGAAATTTCCCTACCGAGTTGGAAATTATTTCTCAAATGCTCCATGGTTTAGGTAAATATTCAGGCATCTTGATAGAACAGAACCCTGACATTGACAAGCATTGCTTTTCTAAATAAGAGCACCAAAGTAGACCTACTGGTTCACACTGTGCAAGTCCTACTTGTCGATGCTATGCAAGTTCTACTCTCCATCATTCATATAAAGCTATTGTTAAATAATTACTTTCCTAAATAACAACACAAGATCAGAAAAGTAAGCAGGTCCTTCTCAAATCCAACCCTTCTCCCTCTTATATTTGCCCAATCTATTTTTAAAACTACCCAAGCTGTTAGCTTTGATTATGCTACTTGGCAGCTTGTTCCCCTCAGCTTCAACACTTTTATGTCAACAAGCATCAGCAATTGAAACTTTAGGCCAGATAAATTTGGTTTATTTTACTATTTTAGCTACATGTATATTATTATGCACCTCCCTGCACCTAACTTTGCCTAGTAGGGCCACATCAACCCCCTCTACACATTTCCAGATCAACAAACAATGACACCTACAATGTAAAATGTGAGACTTATTTTAGAAACATGAAATTTAAAAAAAATGAAGGGCTTTTTTTTCAAGGTGTCATAAACATAACCCAATTTTTCCCCATATATTCTTCAGTTCACATTATTATTTCATGTAAAGGTTTTTAGAAACAATTTGAGTGGAGTAAGTGATTATGTGCCATTTTTATTATTGTTACATATTACCATTTTTATCATACTGACCGCTGGAAGAGCGAAGAAAGAGATCCCTAGAAGTGCACAACCTGAAGCAATCATCTTGCCACCCCAGGTCTTGGGTACTGCATCCCCATATCCCACTGTACACAGTGTGATCTGATGAAAACCCATACATTAGTAGAAAGAATGAAAAGAATATGATAATGAAAACTAGTATAAATGTTGAAAACAGCAATTATGAGAGGGATATTGTATATATCAGAGGAGGATATGACAATACAGTCATAATGATGATAAATTAGACACATGTGCAACTCTTGGGTATCTTCATTGAGGAAACGTTTTGCCACACAGTGGCTTCATCAGTCCATACAAAGGAGAAACACAGATACCCAAGAGTTGCACATGTGTCTAATTTATCAACATGTCGGTTCTCTGAACCATTCATCTAGTCATAATGATGCTGATACTGGTGACAAATGAAGCAGTAATGGGAGTCAAAGATGATATTCAGACTAATGCAAATCAACAGTTTTGATGGTAATAGGAGTAAAGGAGACTGTTAGTGACAACGGGCATTAAAATGCATTATCCTTATACTGAAAAAAGAAAAAAGCTATGTTGGTTTGAATGAGAAATGAGTAATGAACTCAGAATGCCTTATGGTAAAGGAAAGAGGAAGGCCATGTTAATGTCTGATTAGGTTTTATTAGGAGAGGATGACAATGTTAGGCTCCAAAGTTAGCTATGGCTGGGTGTTTAGTAACCAGCAATAATTAGACTTATTTTTTCCTTTGTAAGGATGTTATTTATTTTTTTATTATTATTAACACACTGGCCGATTCCCACCAAGGAAGGGTGGCCCAAAAAAGAAAAACTTTCACCATCATTTACTCCATCACTGTCTTGCCAGAAGGGTGCTTTACACTACAGTTTAAACTGCAACATTAACACCCCTCCTTCAGAGTGCAGGCACTGTACTTCCCATCTCCAGGACTCAAGTCCTGGATGTATGAATATAGATACGGTATAGTGACTAGGTTTGGTAGAGTGCTTTAGTTTGGTTAGCAAAGGGAATGTCCAGAACAGACCACTATGCTGTACATTACTGTATTAATGAAAAGTAAATTAAATGATTAGCAGCTACCCAGCATTGAAAGTATGAAGAATGAGGAAACATCAGTGGTCGACCCAGCATTCATGGACTGTGCTTAACAGACAGTAGTCTAGCTAAGCACAATCCAAGGAATCCATCCCCATGTAAAGGTCTAGGTGAGCACAGAGTTATGAATGTTAATGTTTCTTGGGATCATTGCCATAGATCCAGTCTCAGATCAGGCCTCCTACATTGAAAAGGAACTCCAGTGTTACATGAATAAGACCTGCAAAGAAACATGCAGGAAAAAAAAGATTGACTGATTGATTTATGTAACTCACCACACCCCACCAGAGGGCATCTGGGAAGTGTCTGAAGTTCTCGTTGTTGTCTTTTTCGACGAGGTAGACAAGGAATGAGGAGAAGATGAGTCCAAGGAATCCTATGTACAATGTAGTGATCAGTTCCTAGGGTAAGAAAGGCATCTATTACAATTCTGCTATTATCTTACTAATTCCTCAATTTTGCTGTGTTACAAAAAGTCTTAATAAATTATGTTGTAGCTATTACTGTAAAACCATCATATATGACACTTGCTAAATGTCTGGGTATCTTCATTCTGGAATAGATACCTAAATTGTGAACAAGTGTCTCATATAACAACTTAACAGTTTTCTAAAACCATTTGTAAAAACTGTAAAACCATCTTCAATTAATGACTTAATCCATGTACCCTGTTTAATTATAAAGGACTGCAGAATGGTTTTCCAAACATTTGCTATACACCTGTAGATCTGAATGTTGCATAGGCTTGCTCTGACACCAGTGTTTCATGCACTTCAGTTTTTTTTTTTTTTTTTTTTTTTTTTTTCAACAAGTCGGCCGTCTCCCACCGAGGCAGGGTGACCCAAAAAAGAAAGAAAATCCCCAAAAAGAAAATACTTTCATCATCATTCAACACTTTCACCACACTCACACATTATCACTGCTTTTGCAGAGGTGCTCAGAATACAACAGCTTAGAAGCACTCTCCAACAGATTGTCAGGTCCCAAGTATCATTCGCCTCCATTCACTCCTATCTAACACGCTCATGCACGCTTGCTGGAAATCCAAGCCCCTAGCCCACAAAACCTCCTTTACCCCCTCTTTCCAACCCTTTCGAGGACGACCCCTACCCCTCCTTCCTTCCCCTATAGATTTATATGTTTTCCATGTCATTCTACTTTGATCCATTCTCTCTAAATGACCAAACCACCTCAACAACCCCTCTTCTGCCCTCTGACTAATGCTTTTATTAACTCCACACCTTCTCCTAATTTCCACACTCCGAATTTTCTGCATAATATTTACACCACACATTGCCCTTAGACAGGACATCTCCACTGCCTCCAACCGTCTCCTCGCTGCTGCATTTACCACCCAAGCTTCACATCCATATAAGAGTGTTGGTACTACTATACTTTCACACATTCCCTTCTTTGCCTCCATAATAACGTTTTTTGACTCCACATATACCTCAACGCACCACTCACCTTTTTTCCCTCATCAATTCTATGATTAACCTCATCCTTCATAAATCCATCTGCCGACACGTCAACTCCCAAGTATCTGAAAACATCCACTTCTTCCATACTCCTCCTCCCAATTTGATATCCAATTTTTCTTTATCTAAATCATTTGATACCCTCATCACCACCTGTAAGGTCATTGATATACTCAACATCTCAAACTCATCCACTAACCTTTGCAATTTTTCTTTAGAATCTCCCATAAGCACAGTATCATCAGCAAAAAGTAACTGTGTCAATTCCCATTTTGAATTTGATTCCACATAATTTAATCCCACCCCTCTCCCAAACACCCTAGCATTTACTTCTTTTACAACCCCATCTATAAATATATTAAACAACCATGGTGACATTACAAAATCCCTGTCTAAGACCTACTTTTACCGGGAAGTATTCTCCCTCTCTTCTACACACCCTAACCTGAGCCTCACTATCCTCATAAAAGCTCTTTACAGCATTTAGTAACTTACCACCTATTCCATATACTTGCAACATCTGCCACATTGCTCCTCTATCCACTATCATATGCCTTTTCTAAATCCATAAATGCAATAAAAACTTCCCTACCTTTATCTAAATACTGTTCACATATATGCTTCAATGTAAACACTTGATCTACACATCCCCTACCCACTCTGAAGCCTCCCTGCTCATCCGCAATCCTACATTCTGTCTTACCTCTAATTCTTTCAATTATAACCCTACTGTATACTTTTCCTGGTATACTCAGTAAACTTATTCCTCTATAATTTTTACAATCTCTTTTGTCCCCTTTCCCTTTATATGAAGGGACTATACATGCTCTCCGCCAATCCCTAGGTACCTTCCCCTCTTTCATACATTTATTAAACAAAAACCATTTCAGTTTTGTATGTGCATATTTGGGGTTAAACACACATACATTCATGCAACCTAAAACAAAAGGATTTTTCTAATTTCAGGGATGTTCAGAAATTGATTCTGGGAATCTTTTAATTAACAGTGCAAAATGAAATAGGTTATAGGTAATTTTTTTTTTAAACATGTTGGCCGTCTCCTACCAAAAAAGAAAAACACTTTCACTGTCATTCAACACTTTCACTGTCTTTGCAGAGGCACCCAGATACTACAGTTTAGATGTCACTCCAAACAGCCAATATCCCAAATACCTCCGTTAAAGTGCAGGCATCATAATTCCCACCTCCAGGACTCGAGTCAGGCTAACTGCTTTCCCTGAATCCCTTCAGAAAATACGTATTGCCATGCTCACACTCCAACAGCTCATCAGGTTCCCAAAGCATTCGACTCCATTCACTCCTATCTATGGCTCATATTTTAAACCAATAAATTATTATTATTAATATTGCATATAAAAATATATTCTACTTGCAAGGGTCATACAGGACTGTCTAAACATGGAAAATGTCATATAGAGTGTTACCTCAAGTTACGAACTTAATTTGTTCCAGAAGGCTGTTCGAGTACTGATACCAAACGAATTTGTTCCCGTAAGGAATAATGTAAATTAGATTAGTCCATTTCAGAGGCCCCAAAAATACACTTACAAAAGTACTTACAAAAATACACTTACATAATTGTTCAAGTTGGGAGCTGTTCAAAATTCAAGGTACCACTGTAAAGTTTTTTTTTTTTTTTTTTTTTTTTTTACATCTGCCATTTCTCACAAAAGTAAAGGAGGGTCAGAAGAGGAAATATTCATCATTCACTCAACAGCCATCTTGATAGAAGTGCCAAAGGCACTGGTTTGAATCCATGTTCTTTAAGATATCAAAGCTTGTTTCATTAAGGACATGATATACATGTATTCGATTCCAGTTCTTGTTGTTGAAGTTGAAGTTTGGTGAAGGCACTCTTGGAACTGTGCCTTTTGCTGGTCAGGACCCCTGTTCATACAAATCTGTACTTCAATTAATTATGTGAATTAGCCATTTTTGATACTGTTAAATGTCATACCAGGTCATCATTACTTGTGAATATAAGGTTGTGCATTTCCCAGCCTTGATGGTTCTACTATTTGCTAGTTCAGGGTGATTTTTTTGCAGAGATTCTGCAGGTCATGTGCGTGCATGTGCACGTGTGTGTGACTTTTCATCTGAGCTGCCTTTAGGCAATACCTCTGCTATAACAATTTGCTACTCAGACCACAAAATAATTACATGCAACACCTGTCACATGTTGACTGGAGTAACAAAAAGTAACGAGAGCTTTCTAAACGTACCCACCACCTAAAGAGAATACGTATACATATTCCTAAAAGGAAACAAGAACAAATAGAAAGTATCTGAAATGGTTGAACAGGAGATTAAGATCTTTTAGGGAAGAATGTGTGTGTATCAATAGATGGCCACCTTATAAACCAATATATTCATACTAAGAGGGGTTAGGAAAAGAATAAGAAAAGCTAAACGAGACTATGAATTTAAAGTTTTGGTGCAGAGATTTAAAAGCTCATGTGTGTATGAGTTTTCATCTGGGCTGCCTCCTGGTGTTATCTTTGCTACAACATGATTTGCTACATTCCTCCATTTTCGGTGCCTTTGACTGAAATCCTAAAATGGAGGAATGTAGCAAATAATGTTGTAGCAGAGAACACCAAGAGGCAGCTCAGATGAAAACTCGCACACACACGAGCTTTTAAATCTCTGCACAAAACTTTAAATTCCTAGTCTTGTTTAGCTCTTCTTATTCCTTTTGCCAGGAACTCAAACAAATTCAAAAATTTTTCAAGTACCAAAAGAACAAAAATTAAAGAAAAATGAGGTCAACTGCTCTATTTTTTTTTTTTTTTGGCTATTTTCTTTGGGTCTTCACTCAGGAGAATGACATCACAGTAATAAATTATTATATGTAGTGAGCCCCAAGGGGAAAACAAGTTACATATGTAATACATATTACAATCACTAGGGATACAGTAATTAAACAGGTTGACTGATTAAAGCAAAGTCCTCAGACCCAAATGAGCTTTTTGTTTTTCAAGGGTTCTTAAAGATTACAGGATGGAGCCTCATTAGCCACAAACTGATCGCTAAAATTTATTTCTTCAAACAAGCACAGTGTTGGAGATGCAGATGGCTAATTAATTTCTATTTTTAAAGTAGGGAATAAGTTACCATCTAATTATCACCCAATAAGTCTGACCTCAACTGTAGGCAAATCTTTAGCCAACTATAGCAAATATAAGAAGCCATCTTAAAAGGCATGATTAAGTTAGTGATACTCAACATGGATTTACAAGAGGCCATTCTTACCTGACAAATTTGCCGAATTTCTTCAGTAGAGCATTTAAGGCAGTGGACCATGATAAAGAATATCATGATCATTTATTTATATTTCAGTAAGGTTTCTGATACAGTATCATACAAAAGACTTAGAAAAAAAGGGCAGGCAGCTCATAGTATAGGAAGAAAGGTTCAGTCATGGACTGAAGCATAGCTAATGAACAGAGAGCAGAAAGACTGAATAAATAAGGTGAAATCAGAGTGAAAACCAGTCATAGGTGGTGTGCCACAAGGATCAGTTTTAGTTCCACTGTTGCTAGTGCAATCGAATACTAGCAATCGAACGTAGTTTGATTGCTAGTGCACTCAGCTTACACATCGAGGTCTGTGATTCGATCCTGAGTACAGGTGGAAACTTTAGGACGTTTTTCCTTAAGACACCTGCTGTCCATGCACACCTATCAGCAAAACAGGTATCTGGGCATTAGTCGACTGGTGTGGGTCGCATCCTGGGGACAAAATTTACCTTTGTCTGGAATGTTTTGCATAAGAAGGGGCCCTCTCTATAGCAGTATGTCATTGATGTCAGCTAGGCCTCTATACAGTGAACCCTCGGTTACCTGCCATTCAGCTTATCGCCCAACTTGCTTATCAGCCAGTTTTTCGGCGTCCGGTTATCGGCCGTTATTTCGCTTATCGGCTGTCGATGCTCACAAGTTCCTACCAAGTTGCTACCTCAAGTCCATTAGGACTTGAGGTAGCAATTCCTTTTCCGGGGTTACTTCCCTAATTTTAATGTCACTACGACCAGCTTGAGAGTCACTGGACCTCTGTCGTACAACAAATCTGCCCATAGAGCTCCGTAACTCCTGTTCCTTTAAGACTTTCCTAAAATGGGCCATAACATTGTCACTGTACAGGTTGCCAACACGGCTCGCAGTAGCTGTGCCAGGGTGATTTTCATCCGTAAAAGTTTGCAGTTCAGCCCACTTTGCACACATTTCCTTAATCTCTTTTTTCAATTCCATACTAATTCTCGCCCTTTTTACCACAGGGATGGCACTAGAAGCTTTCTTGGGGTCCATGGTGACTTATTTTGCAATTACAAGCACTAAAAACACTAGGATAATGTGAAATGTACCGAATGTATAGGTAGATGCAACCGCACTGGCTGGTTTGTAAACACTGGCGCTGAGCCCACATGTGGGATGCATCCCAGACGAATCACATAAGGCTAGTTCTTTATCATGAGGCGAGGCAATATTTTTGCATTCAAATGCTTTGATTGGCGGATTTAACGTAATGCGGTGCGTTCGTAAGGCGGGGCTCCACTGTAATATATCTGCTCTTCAATTAATTGCAGTCAGCTGAAACAAATAAAAGCTACAAAGAATGAATGTCTATAAGCAGCAATATTTACAAGCAAATTTATATAAATAGCATAATATGCAAGTCCTTTTTTTAATCTTATGCATAATCTATCATTGGGGTATACTAGGCTTGGCAACTTAATACGTATTACTATATACAATTGGTAAATTATTACAACTAAAAATATTTAGTTAACCGACTTGTGCATCCCTATCCACAATTATCATGTTCAATAGTGAATTATAATAATTTCGTTACTCCTTTCATTTGTTAAATTTGCATATGACCATATGCCAAGACTACCATGTTTTTTGAAGCCACCATCAATAAATCTAGTAAAACTAACTTGCCTGCTATAACCATCATCATGACTTGTCGTAGGAAGGCGATGATGACCGTCTTCGAATTATTAGCTCCGGAAGATTGATAACCCAAGTAAGCAAGTAAGTTTATTCGGGTATACACAAATACAGTTACATAGATTATCATACATAGCATGTGTGTAAAGTACCTAGGATAACCCAAAAAAGTCAGACAGAGTGACTTATTTCCATTGGGATAACTTAATAGTATTGCTAAGAAACAGGGTTTATTTCTGTTGATGTCTTAAGGTGTTCACAACTCGCTTAACATTTTAAGACACAAATAGCACTTATAATATAAGACATGAATATGAATAACGAGAGGAATAAACTCACCTGTCTGTGGGCATAGACAACGGAGCCCAGCAGCTTCCAGGTGCCGCCTCGTCTGTCCATTCGCACCATTCGCAGGATCTGAAAAAATCTGAGGCCCCGGACCGCGGAGACCACCTGGCCGCCAGACCCATTGGCCAGGACCACTACCGACGCCACGATGGTGACAATGTCTGCGGGATGAGGGCAGGGTTAAGGCGCCCGCCACAATGCAAAATTCTGGCAAAAAAATTGGACTTCTAAAGCCTTCTCTCCTCGAGCAGATATGGTGACTACCGTGTCGTGAGTAATGCTCACACTCTCCTGCTGAGGGAAAGGTCCTCCAGAGGATCAGGTAACTCGTTCCGGCCCGGGGCATGTCAGCTTTATTAGTTTGGATTAGAAACCAATCAAGTCAAAACATATGGCCTTCTTAAATTTAATATCTAATGAGTAACAACGAATATGTAAAATTAATCAAAGTCTGTTTATCTCTGTCTCTCACACACACCCACATCTCCACTCACTCACTCACTCACACACACACACACACACACACACACACACACACACACAACACACACACACAAACATGCACACACAAACATACACACCCACACAAACATACACACCCACACAAACATACACACCCACACAAACATACACACCCACACAAACATACACACCCACACAAACACCCACACAAACACCCACACAAACACACACACCCACACAAAACACACCCACACAAACATACACACCCATTCCAAAAGTTGGAGGACCAGGCGGGTATAAGAGGAAAGGTACTGCAACGGATCAGAGAATACCTGACAGGAAGGCAACAGTCATGGTATGGGACGAAGTGTCAGACTGGGTGCCTGTGACGAGCAGGGTTCCACTGGGGTTGGTACTAGGACCGGTGCTGTTTCTGCATTGTGTGTGTATGACATGACTCGGAAGTGTCCCTGTTTGAAGACAATGTAAAGCTAACGAGAAGAATTCAATCAGACGAGGATCAGGCAGGACTACAAAGGGATCTGAACAGGCTGCAAGCCTGGTCCTGCAACTGGCTCCAAGAGTTTAACTTCACCAAGTGCAAAGTCATGAAGATCAGAGAAGGGCAAAGAAGACTGCAGACAGAGTACAGTCTAGGGACCCAAAGACTGCAAACCTCACTCAAGGAAAAGAATCTTGGGGCGACATCTCCTGAGGTGCACATCAAATAATAACTGCTGCAGCATATGGGCAACTAGCAAACCTATGAATAGCACTCCGACACCTCAGTAAAGAATCGTTCAGGACTCTGTACACAGTGTACGTAAGGCCCATACTGGCAGTGGCGTCATATGGGAAGCGGTTTGCCCTGGGTGACACCATTAAGGGGGTGACATCATAGAGCCTCTAAAGGTGACACTAATGCCCAAAACAGTGCTGCAGCAACATAAGAGAAAACTCCTTTGTTTCTACATAGCCTATTATATGATTACAGAGTACAAATAGGCCTATATAGGGAAAATCAATGACACTATACGAAAAACTACGATAAATCGATAAATTTATTTATATTTTGGAAAAACTCTTAATCCACCTGGCATCACCATGATCACTCACCACTGACTGAAATATGCAAGAATGAGCTCATGCTTGAAATACCAAGACTAAGGAGGCACCTGCAAGCTGCTGATGTTGATCTTGAAAAAGTAAAGCACTGGACTGTATTGGATGTACTAACATTCATAGTTGAATGGGATTTCATTGAATCTCTTCCAACTCTCACACACTGCCTGAGGTTGCTCCTTTATTATGTGTGTTTCTGTGGCTTCTTCTTAAAGGAATTTCTCGAAGTTGAAGCTGATTAAAAACTATTTACGGTCCACAATGATTCAATCCAGAATCACTGACTTATCAATGCTATCCATAGAAAATGGATCAGTTGACATCATTGATTTTGAAGTGATAGATGATTTTGCAGGATTGAAGGCAAGGAAATGCAAGTTCTGATTCAACAAGATGTTACTTGTACTCAAGGTCAAATCGGAACTAGTGTTTCTCTGATATTGCAATGTTTTTCTCTAATTTCTCCTTTTTTTTTTTTTTTTTTTTTTTGGCGCATTGTTAAAGATGAATAAATGTAGGATCTGTTGCCTGTATTCAAAGTGGTATTAATTAACGAGTTTATGTTTCCTAAATATTACTACAATTATTTATTTTATCATTAATAAAGTTGAGAAGCATTTGCCTGTTCGGTTAATGGCCCTTAAACGTTCGCATTGCTAAACATCTGTCATTGGTCATGCAGTAGTGACGGAACTGGAGTTTACTCCCCCCCATCCCCCGCCCTTGGATTTCATGGGGGTGATACCAAAGATGCCGACCCGGGTGACACCAACCCTAGCAATGCCACTGCATACTGGAGTATGCAGCACCAGTTTGGAACTCGCACCTGGTCAAGCATGTCAAAAAATTAGAGAAAGTGTAAAGGTTTGCAACGAAACTAGTCCTGGCGCTAAGGGACATGTCCTACGAGGAATGGTTAAGGGAAATCAACCTGACAACACTGGAGGATAGGAGAGAGGGGGGGACATGATAACGACATATAAAATACTAAGAGGAATTGAGAAGGTGGACAGAGACAGGATGTTCCTGAGATGGGACATAGCAACACAGGGTCACAACTGGCAGTTGAAGACTCAGATGAGTCACATGGATGTTAGGAAGTATTTCTTCAGAGTTGTCAGGAAGTGGAATAGTCTGGAGAGTGATGAAGCAGAGGCAGGATTCATACATAGCTTTAAGAAGAGGTATGATAAAGCTCATGGAGCAGGAAGAGAATGTGGACCTAGTAGCAACCAGTGAAGAAGTGGAGCGAGGAGCTATGACTCGATCCCCTGCAACTACAATTAGGCGAGTTCACACCCACAAACACCCACACAAGCTGGTGACAGAGGAAGATGCTGTAAACACACAAAGGTGGCGCATGTGGAAAAATCAATGGGAATGGACAAGATTTTGTCTTGGTTACTGAAGGAGGAGACGGACACCCTCAAGCAAGCCAATGATGAGTATCAACGCATTACCAGGGACAGAAAAGGCACTAGACAGCAAATAGTAATAATAATAATAAAAACTGAGGGGAGAAGCTATGTAAGAAGTTGTAACCACAGACCAGTATCATCTATAACCATGATGAAGAAACAAGTGTAGTATATCACCACAAGAGAGGCAGGCCACACACTGGGTCAACGGTATGGGGTTAGAAGGCCAAGCCTTTCAACCCATGAGAATGAAGTTCATGGATCTTTAAAGCACTTTGACATTATAAGATCGACCAGCCTTTTTTTTTTTCTAAGACTTAAACATTAAACACAACCAACCACACTGATACTCGAGATCCAAAAGAGTATTAAGTTTTAAAACTTATTCAAACAAGGCAACACAACTGAACAAATACTATCAAACTTAACTTTAGTCACAGGTTGACCATTACATCTCTCTAACCGTTTCTTTGTAAATTTCTTAACTATTAGCGCTTTGGACACCCAGCAAGGTACGTATTCAGCCCCTTTGAGTGCCCTATCTGCAACAACCTTAGTCTTGATCCATCCTCTCTATTCTTCATTCAACACATCTAAACTGTACTGGGGATCATCCTTATTTTTGTTAGTGCCCAGTATTGCTATGGAAACGCGGAGTTTGATTTTTGAAGAGATAGGAGGAAGAGAGCGAGTGTGTGTGTGTGTGTGTGTGTGTGTGTGTGTGTGTGTGTGTGTGTGTGTGGTGTAGTGTGTGTGTGTGTGTATGGTTGTGTGTGTGTATGGTTGTGTGTGTATGGTGTGTGTTGTGTGTGTGTGTGTGTGTGTGTGGTGTGTGTATGGTTGTGTGTGTGTATGGTTGTGTGTGTATGATGTGTATGGTGTGTTTGTAGGTATGGTGTATGTAAGGGTGTAAGTTTGATCACCTAAATTTGTGTTTTTGCATGTGAGGTTTGGGTGAGAACTCGGCTCCTGGCCGTCTCTTCATGGACGGCTACTAGAACTCAGTCCTCATAGCTTCAATGGCTTTGGTCATTATGGCATTTGAATATCGATAACAGTTGGTGCTGCACTACTTCACTGTAAGGGATTATTCCTGACGACTTGTACGAATTAGTATTCCAATTACTGTGATATGTATGAGTAGCTTAATTGTGACCCTGTAACTTGTCCTTATGGACATACGTATGTATTGTAATTCCACGCAGTTATTTATGTATGTTATATGATATCTGTCGATTTATGTAGTTGCGCAAGTCCGAATTCCCATAATTTCTCGGAATAGTATGATCAAACCGTATTCGTCTAATTTTGGAGTGCTGATCAGGTGTGTGTTCCAAGGTGTCTGAATGCATTGGGCAGTGAGTTGGTGTACAGTTGTTTGAAAAGAAATTCTAAGTGTATCGGAAGTATGCTAGGTTGGTCGTTAGTCGCCATTGCTTCAGGCAGTAGGTTGATGAGTGCTCAAGACTGCTTTTGTTACTACCCAAGAATCTCCAGTGAGGTTTGAAGCGAGTAACCTAGCTTAATCGATGAGGTATGGTCTTTGCCCCAACTTATGTCATTTGGCAGGGTGATTCAGTAGAGCAGTTGTTGCCCCTCAAGTCCAACAACTGATGGAATAAGTACTGTATATATGTACTGTCATTATGGTTTAATTATGTATAGTGTATTGTATATGTGTATATGAATATCGGTAATTTTTTATTCCACGCTATGTATATATATGTATGTATTATGAATAATGTATATATGTATAAATGATGTATATATGTATATATTTTGTTATATGTACGTATGTGTGTGGTGTGTGTGGTGTGTGTGCGTGTGGTTGTGTGTGGTGTGTGCGTTGTGTGTGTGTGTGTTGTGGTGTGTGTGGTCGTGTGGTGTGTGTGGGTGTGGTGTACTACCTATGATATAGTGGTTGCGGGGTCGAGTCGTTAGCTCCTGGCCCGCTCTTCACGGTTGTACTGGGCCTCTCCTCCCGTCCTGAGCTTTATAACTGTCTTAAAACTGTGTTGGTTCTGCTCATACGTCTTTTCTAGGCTATACTGCTTACAACTCTATGAATGAAGAAATTTACTTCCTATATTTCTGATCATTGTGTCTTCTAACTTCAATTGTGGCCTTTGTTTCTGTGTCCCTCCCTGGAACATCTATTG